GTGCAGGACCAACAGCGACGGGTATAGGAGGTATGAACCAAACCCCCAACATTGGATTTTTTTCCGCCTTTGACTTTAGTGCCGTGTGATAGCGGTAGAGACAACCAGCTACGCGTGAAGCCCCCACCAATGATTGTGATCATTAATTTAAAATCACAAACAAAACCAACAAAAAACAACAAATTCAGGTATGTATGTATGGTATGTATGTATGGTATGTATGTATGGTATGTATGTATGGTATGTATGTATGGTATGTATGTATGGTATGTATGTATGGTATGTATGTATGGTATGTATGTATGGTATGTATGTATGGTATGCATGTATGGTATGTATGTATGGTATGCATGTATGGTATGTATGTATGGTATGTATGTATGGTATGAATGTATGGTATGTATGTATGGTATGTATGTATGGTATGTATGTATGGTATGTATGTATGGTATGAATGTATGGTATGTATGTATGGTATGTATGTATGGTATGTATGTATGGTATGTATGTATGGTATGTATGTATGGTATGTATGTAATGTATGTATGTATGTATGTATGTATGTAATGTAATGTAATGTAATGTAATGTATGTATGTAATGTATGTATGTAATGAATGTATCTAATGTATGTATGTAATGTGTGTATGTAATGTGTGTATGTAATGTGTGTATGTAATGTAATGTATGTAATGTAATGTAATGTAATGTAATGCAATGCAATGTAATGTAATGTAATGTAATGTATTGTAATGTAATGTAATGTAATGTATGTAATGTATGTAATGTATGTAATGTATATAATGTATGTAATGTAATGGTATGTAATGTAATGGTATGTAGTGTAATGGTATGTAATGGTATGGTATGTAATGTAATGGTATGTAACGTAATGGTATGTAACGTAATGGTATGTAATGTAATGTAATGTAATGTAATGTATGCAATGTAATGTAATGTAATGTAATGTAATGTAATGTAATGTATGCAATGTAATGGTATGTATGTATGTAATGGTAGGTAGGTAGGTAGGTAGGTGGGTAGGTAGGTAGGTAGGTAGGTGGGTGTAGGTAGGTAGGTAGGTGGGTAGGTAGGTAGGTAGGTAGGTATGTAATGCAAGTATGTATGTATGTATGTATGTATTTATGTATGTATGTATGTATGTAATGTATGTAATGTATGTAATGTATGTAATGTATGTAATGTATGTAATGTATGTAATGTATGTAATGTATGTAATGTATGTAATGTATGTAATGTAATGTAATGTTATGTATTGTTATGTAATGTTATGTATGTAATGTATGTAATGTATGTAATGTATGTAATGTATGTACTGTATGTAATGTATGTAATGTATGTAATGTATGTAATGTATGTAATGTATGTAATGTATGTAATGTATGTAATGTATGTAATGTATGTAATGTATGTAATGTATGTAATGTATGTAATGTAATGTAATGTATGTACTTTAATGTAATGTATGTAATGTATGTAATGTATGTAATGTATGTAATGAATGTATGTATGTATGTATGTATGTGTGTATGTATGTATGTATGTATGTATGTATGTATGTATGTATGTATGTATGTATGTATGTATGTATGTATGTTATGTATGTTATGTAATGAATGTATGTATGTATGTATGTAGGTATGTAGGTATGTAGGTATGTAGGTATGTAGGTATGTAGGTATGTATGTATGTATGTATGTATGTAGGTATGTAGGTATGTAATGTAATGTAATGTAATGTAATGTAATGTAATGTAATGTATGTATGTAATGTATGTAATGTAATGTAATGTAATGTAATGTAATGTAATGTAATGTAATGATGTATGTCATGTTTGTATGTCATGTATGTATGTCATGTATGTATGTCCATGTATGTATGTCATGTATGTATGTCATGTATGTATGTCATGTATGTATGTATGTATGTATGTATGTCTGTATGTGTGTATGTATGTATGTAATGTATGTAATGTATGTAATGTATTTAATGTATGTAATGTTTGTAATGTATGTAATGTATGTAATGTATGTAATGTATGTAATGTAATGTAATGTATGTAATGTATGTAATGTATGTAATGTATGTAATGTATGTAATGTATGTAATGTATGAAATGTATGTAATGTATGTAATGTATGTAATGTATGTAATGTATGTAATGTATGTAATGTATGTAATGTATGTAATGTATGTAATGTATGTCATGTATGTAATGTATGTAATGTATGTCATGTATGTAATGTATGTAATGTATGTAATGTATGTAATGTATGTAATGTATGTAATGTATGTAATGTATGTAATGTATGTAATGTATGTAATGTATGTAATGTATGTAATGTATGTAATGTATGTAATGGTATGTAATGGTATGTAATGGTATGTAATGGTATGTAATGGTATGTAATGGTATGTAATGGTATGTAATGGTATGTAATGGTATGTATGTATGTATGTATGTATGTAATGTATGTAATGTATGTATGTATGGTAATGTAATGTAAGGTAATGTAATGTAACGCACCGTAATGTAATGTAATGTATGTATGTATGTATGTATGCATGGATGGATGTATGCATGGATGTATGTATGTATTTCGGTGGGTGCAATCAAAATACGGTCACAATGGGCGATTTCTGATGAGGATGATGATGATGATGATGATTATGATGATGATGAGGATGAGGATGAGGATGATGATGATGATGATGAGGATGAGGATGATGATGATGATGAGGATGATGATGATGATGATGATGAGGATGATGATGATGATGATGATGAGGATGAGGATGATGATGATGATGAGGAAGAGGATGATGATGATGATGAGGATGAGGATGATGATGATGATGATGATGAGGATGAGGATGAGGATGAGGATGATGATGATGATGATGATGATGAGGAAGAGGATGATGATGAGGATGAGGATGAGGATGATGATGATTATGATGATGATGATGAGGATGAGGATGATGATGATGATGATGAGGATGATGATGATGATGATGATGAGGATGATGATGATGATGATTGGAAACCATTGATTCAAACGGGGTTACTTTTTGCAAGAGCAGCTGTGAATGCCATTTTTTGCATTGGTGTGCTCAGCAGGCTGCAAAGGCCAATCTTGTCAGCTGTTGGCACGAGTCGCGGGATCCTATGAGTAGTGACATCTAGTTTGAAAGGCTCCTTCGGTCAACATGAGCCTCATGGTGCGGCTCGCAAAGATCCGAGCGGCACCGGTGCTAGTGGCACGTGCGAGCTCCACTGGCATCAACCAGTTGACCAGCTTCGTCTCGGCCACCAGTGGCGCCCTGCAAGCCAGCAGCCAACACAAGTGCATTACCCCAAGTCAGTGGCGCTGGGTTCCTGGTGATGATGGAACTGGATTGCTGCCATTGGCAGCAGCTGTCCTGGCTGCCCAGCTTGCCTACAGCACCTACCGTGATACAAAAGCAGATGTGATCACCAACAAAATCAATGGCAAAGAGGCGGAGGAATTCCTGGCTGCTTCACTTCGACAAGTTTGCGGATCGGGAATTGAGACTCAGGTTCACATGAAAACCGATACCGGGTTTCGAGTTGTGGATGCGGTTGACACTTGTCATGGAATACTCCACGAATGCAAGGTCGGCAAACTCTCCAAGTCACAAAGTACAATCGCACAACTGTCAAAGGATCTTTCTTTGAAAGAGCAAGGTTGGAGGCCAAGGATTCATTTCTTCAACTCGCCAGAGACAGGCCAGGGCGGACCAACAAAACCTCTCAAAGAGTTCTTGTCTGAGAAGGGAATTGAGTGCTTTGAGCACAATCACACAGTGCGAGAAACGGCAGGCTCTTGTGGGCCTTGCAGTGAGTCCTTGCGCGAAATAGCAGATGCCGCCGTCATAAAACCTGAGGGTTCAACATCCCGCAAAATTGCAAAGATGAAGGCCACAGAGTCCATAGAGTCTTCGGCAGCCGTGTCTCAAGCCTTATGCGCTGTGGGAGCCCTAAACCTTGCAGTGGCTGTAGGTGCGCTGGCAGTGGCAATGCACTCCTCTCAAGTGGTCGCAAGAATAGAAGCAAAACAATTACCTGAATTGCGTAGAGAAACCGAAGATTTGAGGTTAGCTTTGGCTACATTTGAGGTTTCTCTGAAAGCAGAAATTGAAAAACATCTTGAAGGTGAGGTTTGGCACCGTTTCACGCGCTATAGTCCCCCTGAATCCTGGCTCTGTAAACAGCTGAAGAAGATAGTTTCTAAAGCTGGTGAATTTTGTTACGAGAAGGTTGGGCAGCTGCTTGGTCCTTGGATTCTGGGAGCCCTTAGCTGTGCATGTGCCCTATTTTCATGGGCAGCTGCGTTCTTGGCAGCAGGTGGCAGACAATCTTTGAAAATTTGGAACCATTGCCTGGACTGGCAGCTACAAAAAGAAATTAAATGCAGGAAGCAAAGAGTGCAGGATGATATGCGATCTTTGCAGGAGCGCTATCACAAGTTGAAGTGCAAGATGGAAAAGGTTATCAAACAGACACAGCTTCAAAAGTCAGATAGTGAAAGTGCACGTGCAGTTGCAGCGCTGACTGCTATAGTGGGAGGGCTAGTTACTGTTGCCTCTTTGGGTGCGGACTGCGGCGCAGGAGTAAAGCTGGGAACAGCTGGGGTTGCGGCGTCAAGCCTTGCAGCGTCCGTAGCTGGAGAGACGATTGAAAAGTGCAATCAGATCCTCGACGAAGTAGAACATTTACTTGAACTTGTTGAAGTGGAGTATGGCTCAGTGGAGAAAACTTACAACGCCTTGATGAGGATCTATGAGCTCTTGGAGAGAGAGGTCGACATTCCCAACCCAATACCATCGGCCCTTCTCTGGCTGAGTCAAACCTGACTCTGATTGTTCCGGTATCTATTTCGTTTCAATGTCGCTTTTCTCAGCTACCTGTGGTGCCACTGAGTGTTCAACAAACACCAAAAGTCTGTTTGCGTAACC